GAATGTACTGCTACTGGGAGCCCCATCCTACAGAAATATGTGTGCAAAGGCAGAAGGGAAGAGGAATGCTTGAAAATTCTGGTTAAAGTGCCTTGTCTCAGCCCTGTCTCTCCTTCTTCTGAACTGGAGATACAAGCAACCCTTCGAGCTCAATCACAGGTTAGTATATGGCTTTTTCCAAGTTGTGTAACAGCCGGATTTCTCAACTTAGAATTCCAGGGGTGCTAACTGGAGTATTGAAACAGCACCAGGAACTTTTCTACCAGTTGTTCTGGTAATAGTGGTCAAGTATCTCCATTCTTAAAGACATAGCATTGCCTTCCTGGCAGCCTGTTTCATGGGTTTTAGGTACCAGGTTAGGAGCTTTATGTTTGTTTCAGTTCAAATGTTTGTTTTGTCCCATCAGTCAACATAATTAATAGTAAACTAGAGATAACATCGTTTTGCCAGTCGCTTCCAGCTAGGGAAGCTTTTTATGTAAGAAAATGAGAAAAGTTGTATCTTTTCCTACTCGCAGAGAAATTGATTGCAATTAGGAGGGGAATTCCTCATTACCATCAGAGGGAATTTCCTCCCATTATGAATTAGAGGGATTTTCCTCTGGCATGCAACTAATAGGGCTATGTGGCAATTTGGATTTGAAGGAGAAAAGGTGATTTGGAGTTCATTCAGGCACATAGGTACCCTCTGTCCTTATACTAAACATCTTGGGGTCTTCTGGTAGCTCCAGATGGTGGCTGTGTAAGCTTTGGAAAGAATGCAGCTGTTTTAAGGATATGCTAATAGCTGCTGTTGAGAATTCCCTGATTCATTCTGAAATCATTTTTCCCCTTCAAATCCAGATCACCCTATAAAGCCTTAACAATAAGACATGAAAAGCTATATTATATTTCCATACCTGCTCAGATCCCCTAATAATTCGCCTTATCCCTCAAGTTGTATTGAGAGGCCTCATCTTTACTTTACACCTTTACTTTAAATAAAGGTGGGGGTTTTGCTATAGCTATCATATAACTAGGGCTCAAAAATCTAGAGAAATGAGTGTTGATGTTTTGCTTCAGCAGCTCCTGGGTTGAACAGGAAGAGTTAAGTATCAGCAGTGAAGAAGAAATGCTTTAATCTTTCTCCCTACGTGTGAGGGCTTTGAATTCTAGATTGTAAATACCAATGCAGATCAGCTACAATATACACCCAGAATGTAAGATGGCGTTTAATCTTGAGGTGCCTTGGTTGCAAGCAAGGTTATTATTTTTAATGCTTCTCCTAAAGGTGTTTGGATGGATTTTGATTGCCAGCGTCTTCACAGTGGCCCTTCTTACCACCTGCATTGCTCGCTGCCGTTCTCCAGTCAGCGTTCTTCAGCTTGCATTCTGGAAAGTCTACCTGCAGAAGGAGCAAGAACTTTTTGAAACCATGGCCAAAGAACACGCGTCAAAGTTAGCAGAGAGGAATCTTAAAAGTTTCTTTGATTCCACAGAGCTGGGACCATTTCATACCCCAAGTGCCAAAGCCTGGGATAACATTTCCTCCTTGTTTGCCTTTAATCCTAAAGACAATTGCTACAGTATGATACATAAATATGTCAGTCAAAAATCTCAAAGTGGCAGCATTAAGTCTGCTGAAGGAGATATATACCCCAGTTGTTTGCAATTTGTAGATGGTGCAAATGTTGAAGTCCAAATTTTGTAACAACTGTAACCTGAGAAAATGGCTCAAACAAGAGCCTTCCTAGCCTCATGAAGGGGGAAGGGGGAAATCTATTTGCTTGTAAGATTTTGTTATTCGAACCTTCTAATAAAAGTAGCATTAGCTTCTAACAAAAGTAGTATTTAGCTTTCATAATTTTGGTTTCCCAGTCTTGGAGGGCCGACAAGTGTCCCAGTCTTGAAGGGCCGACAAGTATCAAGGCTTGTTAATAGCTACATTATGCATTATTTCATTACTTCATTATATGGAGCGTTCATGATTCTTGTGCCCCCCCCATGTGCTGTTCATGATTCCTGTTGTCAAGTTTTCATTTAATAAGTAAAATGTCTGCTCTATCATGAATTTTGTCCCATGTCTTTTCTTCTCCAAATATAATTTTTATTAAGAATTTTAATTACAATAGTAAAAAGTGAATACAAACTAAACTTAGAGAAAGAGAAGACAATGGAAAGAAGAAAAACATGCAGGAAAAAGAGAAGAAAGGAAAAAGAAGTATATAATATTGAAAAAGAAAAGAAATGTATGAGGAAGTGACTTTCAGCCTTCATTGCAAGTGTAAACAAATACAATGAATTTTTACCCTCCATGAGAGAGAGACGGAGGGGGGAGGGAGGGAGGGAGGGAGAGAGAGGGGGGAGAGACTTATTTACTTCTTAATCTTTAATGCAATCAAATACTGTGGTAGGATTTGATTTCTCTTCAATTCTTCTATACTCAATGGCATAGATTTCTTCAAGCCTCTTTTGTGTATTCAATAAGTAAACATTTTCCAAGTCATAGGTCAAGAGGAAAGGAAATCCCCAAGTGCATTAGGCAGGGATCAAGGTTGTCTCCAAAGCAAAATTAAGATCTCAGCCAGTGCCATGCTTCAGGTTTTCCAAAATCTTGCTGGTCAGGTAGAATAGGAAAAAAATTGAGTTGACATCTTAATGTGGATTATGTTGAAAATATTAGGAGTTAAGTATCTAATAAAGCAAATAATTTTACTGATTTTTAATTGAACTTGATGTGCATAATTGTGGTTTAAGATGAATATTTCTCCCACATTTTTATAGTAGGATTCTCGACATGAAGTATGTATCAAGCCAGTTAAAAGAGTAGTGTGGCAAATGAGTTTAGAATTGCAGTTGATACTTCTTAACAAGTAAGGCCTTTAAAATTGCTGTGTAACTTATCAGTAATATTAAAAGTAGGGATAGTTAAATACAGTAGGGGAAAAAAAATCTCTTTTACTTTCACTTATACTTTCATCACCATGCTCAAGAGAGTATTAAATGAGTTCTCTTAATGTCTTAATTCTCTATGTAAAGCAAGGATTTTCTCATCTTTTCTTATTAAAACATGCCATCTAGCTCAAAAGGAATTCTTTATTTCAAATATTTTTGTTCCTAGGATACTTCCACTCCCGAACCACTGCATTTCTCAAGGATGATGATTTAGCTTTATTAATGTTTAGTGCAGATTCCTGAATTTGTGGAAATGAAATGATGAAAAAGGTGAATCTGAATTGAAGTTCTGGGTTCATCGCACCATAAAGCTTGAGAACTTCCCTGTCTTATTAGTGTTACTGCAATTTGTTGTGTGTTTTTTTAAAATCTTTGTTGAAATATGGCAGCTTTTTGAAGAGGTGTTCAGATGTTCTGATTATTAATGACATGGATGTTTATAATTTCAAAGGGCTAACATCATGTTTGTTACAGCCATTTGTTGCTTGATTTAGCCAACACTATGGGAACTTGATGCCGCTGTATATTCCCTAATTTCCCAAGTCTGAAGTCTTCCAGAATCAAAACATATACAAACATTAAAGTTTTAGGAAAGGTCTGAATCAGTGGTGGGATTCAAATTGTTTTACCTCCGGTTCTGTGGACATGGCTTGGTGGGCGTGGTGTGGCTTGGTGGGCGTGGCAGGGGAAGGATACTGTAAGAGTGGGAAGAGTCTTTTATTCACATGGATAAAGAAAAAAACAACAAATGGTTGTCTGTGACAACTGGCCACTCCCAAGCCCCTACTATTTATTTCCCAGCCAGGGAGGGGCTGGCTAGCATGCATGCTTGCTTTTCCTTGAGAGCCGGCTTATTGCTTTTCTTTGCTCTCCTCTCCTTCCCTCTCTGCACATACACACATCTGGGATGGGCCACATCTCTTCCTCCCCCTCACTCAGCTCAGGCCCTGAAGACAGCTGCCTCTCCACCTGGGGGAGGACAGAAGGCCCCAGCTCTGCCTCTGCTGCTGTTTCCTTATCAGAGCTTTCCAAAGGCTCTGAAGCCGGCCCAGGATCTCCCTCCACCTCCTCGTCTGACTCTGCAGCTAGCTCAGCTGGCAACTGATGGGCTACAACAATTCTTTGCTTCAGACAAAAGCCCAGATACCTGTAGGACTGCAGAAAACCAGGCTGTTTTATTATCCCATCCACTTCATTGTTATAGGGGTATAGGTTAATTGAAAGGTCACTTTGCTTCCTTTTTACTATAATGGAATCAAAACAACCCAAACCATCAGGGGATAATTTTGGTAGTTGCATTTTATAAATCTGCTTGTGCTGCTGCTGTTGAAATAAGGCAACAAGGAGAGTACCAGCCTAACTAAAATCTCTCAGCCACCCTTTCTTTTCCCCCTTTTCTGTTTTCCAGTCTAAAATCACCCCCCCACACACACTGGTTATCAATTTGTGCATATTTCACTTATCAGTATTCTTTTAAATAAACCTTTGGTTCAAGAGGCATTTTGGTATGACAACTTGCATATTTAAATATACCTTTCAGTAAACTATGCATCTAGAACTTAGACAATAAATATTAACAATTTAGACAATAAATATTAATAAAAATTATTAAGAAGCTGCAAATTGGACTGGTTTGCACTAAAATGTAAATTAAATGACTTTTTCCCAACCCTATTTTTATCAGATGAATATCCCAAGAATATAGAAAGCATAGATGCAAGAATTGAAATTTTTCTTAAGCATATTTTAGATTTCAAGTTAAAATTGCTAGAAAAAAGGTCCACACTACTTGTGAAATTCATCGGTGGACCAGCAACAGAACTTCTCAGGAATAGTCCCCATTTTGTGCAATATCTTACCTGTGGAAATTTAGGTAGGTCCAACTATGTTCCAGCAACTCTTTTGCCTGTGGTGCTATTTAAGTGACCATAATATCTTGAATATCATCAATTGTTGCATTTATTTTGTTGTACTTTTACATGTGTAAACTGCTCAGAACTCATATGGATTAAAAAGGCTTTATAAATTTTGTTAAATAAATGAATAAAGAAGGTAATTGTACCCATCCATCCATATATTGCAAATCAGGATTCTTGGAAATTGAATTTTCCAAGGTTTTTTTTTTTTAAAATAATAATACCTAGTTTTCAAAAACCTAGAATTTTTGCTCTGGAAGTCTTTAGATGGATTACTTCTCAGAAGCCATGTTTCTGTTAAAGTTGCAAAATGAAAGCTACATTTCTTAGCCATGTCTTGATCCTCCTTTTGCTCACTAAATGCTATGTCAGAAGACGACTTTGGTCAACCTCTATCATAAATGAAGGCAAAAATATATTTTACATTCTGATATAATTTCATGCACAATTTGGTTCAGATAATATATTTATATATCTCATTCACCCTTTTCATTGCAGGGAGCTGTAACAAACATGGAAAGGTTTGGTGGTTGCATTACTACATTTCATGGAATTATCTGGCCTGAGAAAGTTCCCTCAGGCAATTCCTCAGGAGAATTATCACTCTTAAGAGTCCTAAGAAAACCTTGTTCTTCACAGCACTGAAATTTACCTCACTGAAACAGATGTAGCACAGCTCCAATATGAAGCAGCATGCAAGGATATTTTTCAGGGAGCAGAGATTTTACGGATATTCACCATCCAGTTCCTGGCAATAAATACATTTTGGAGCATTACACATTTCCTTGCGGGGATTGTATGCTAATTTCTTGTTCCTCCAACAAGCTTGTGGGCATGCATGGCCTGGACTAGAAAAACTGTTTATTTTTAGTCATGTTCTGGGTGTATTGGAAGGTTACCCTTTGTAGGCAGCTACAAAGGCTTGGATGACCCTATAATTATTTCAGACAACAGTTTCATTTATTTCTCTTGTATTTTTTGGTTTCAGCCTTCTTCAAGAATGTGATTCGGATTTCTGTCACATCATCTCCTTTCAGAGTGTCTTGAAGGAAAATCACTTCAGCTGCTAGGTGTATCTGAAAATAAAAAGTTAAATTGATGTTACAGGGACAAAGGTCGCCAATGGTAGGAAAACCATACAATAATGGGGTGTTTTATTCATTTCTTAAATATATATTCTGAGAATCCATCAAATAAGGCTTGGAAAAATAATAAAGACATGGGAGCAGGTCAAAATGTGATATACACACACACGCACACACGCACACACACACACACACACATATACTATTGTACTTACTGGTTTTACCTTCACCTTCCCATTTTTTAGGGCACCATTTCTACACCACCTATATGAGATCCAGTTGCAGATATGGTACATTTGGCTCATATATAGAAATCGAAGGTCAATGACACTATGAGATAGATTCATTCATTCTTTCTTTCATTCATTCATTCATTCATTCATTCATTCATTCATTCATCATATTTATATAGCCACCTATCCAGTGGTGGGCTGCAACCTGTTTAACAACCGGTTCGGTGAGCTTCGTGCATGTGCGCAGCATTCAAAAACCACCTATTTTAGCCTCTAAAACTTACCTTCTCAGGCACCGCCAGTGAGTAAAACAGCTGAGGTGTGGCAATCCACTGTGCCACATGAATCAGCTGAGATGAAAAACATGGAAATATAGGACAGGATAGGGCGGAGGCAAGTGGGCAGGGCCAGCTGATAGCTGGAACCACCAGTTTGCTAGAACCAGTCCGAACTGACAGCAGTCCACTATTGCACCTGTCTCACAATCAAGTGACTCTGAGAACACAAATATAGTGGCTGGGGAAAATCAGAAGGTGTTTTTTGTTCATTTGTTTTGTGCCTTCAAGTCAGCGTTGACTCCAGGCAATTGCCTAGACAAGTCCCTGCAGTTTTCTTGGCAAGATTTCAGAAGAAGTTTGTTGCTGCCTTCTTCATAAGATAGAAAGACTAACTGGCTGTGCCCAGTTGAGAGTAAAACTTAAAGTCTCCCTGTTCTACCTTAACCCTTAACGCTAAACTGACTCTCAAAAGGTAGAATACCAGACACAAAGCCCACACGCAGAAAAGATTTGTACAGAAGGTCTTTGAAAAGCACGATTTAAGCCTAGAAGGACAATCAGCCTCATCTAGTCTGTTTCCTCAATGTCAAATTTACAAAGGGCTAATAGCATCTGTAGGAAAATTTGATTGGATTTGCACAGGACACCATGACACTTAATGCATTTTATTTGTTTGAGTTTTATGGTTTCAGTGAACCTTGACAAGTTTTGATTTATCTAATAAATCATGAATAACAACTCATGGCTAAAGACATTTAAGTACCACAGTGGTTAAGGCATAAGGTCAGAAGCTGGAAGACTCTGAGTCTTAGAAGCAAAATCAAACAGCCACTCACTCACTCTCAGCTCTAGGAGGAAAGCGATGGCAAACCACTTCTGAAGATCTTGCCAAGAAAACTATAAGGTCTAATCCAAGCAGTCACCAGAAATCAACAGTGACTTAAAAGCACACACACACACACACAAATGTGCACCAGCTAAGGATTATGTGGCCAGGTTTGTACTATATACTAAACAACAAGCCATGGTTACAAACCATAATAAGTGAATTTATACAATAGCATGATCCAAAATTACTGTTCAGTATAATCACACAATCAAGGCAGATCACGTGCCCTCAGAAGGAACGGGGGAGGGGGGGGTGACAACAAAAGCCTTGCAATGTCACAATGCACACTCCACCTTTTATATAGCTGTTACAGTGCACGAACCAAATACTGGAGGTTGTGTCATGAGGTCATGCATATTATATTGTCACTAGGGCAGCATCATGGTTAGGAACAAACAAGTATGAGGCTGTTCTGTATATTGGGGGAGGGGGCAGAAAAGGGCAGAGTAGGAAGAGCCAGTATCCATTTTCTTACCATTTCCAGAGCACCTCGGATGGTCCCAGACAACAGGCTGCAATAGCAAAGAGATGATCGACTTGCGGGTAGCTCCTCCACAAAGTCCACTAAGGGATTCTTGGCCAGAATGAGAGAAAACTCATTTCCCATTGCATTGTTGCAAGTCACAGTAGGGGTGACACCCAGATACATCTTAAAAGCAACCTGACAATGGAATGAAACATGTCATCACTGGGTTAAACCATAAATTATCTTAAATAAATTTGGACATTTCGTCTATTTATTACAGGTATGAACCATGATTTTCAATCAAATACTGGGATTGGGAACTACTGAATGCCAAGAGGGTTAATGTTTTCAGCCTCCTCGGCATGAAGTTGACAACACTTTGCAATAATTTTAGGGATGAGGCTGAGGAGTGAGAATTCACACTGAGGCCAATGGGGGCTCTCCTACTCTGAAGCTCACTGTAGAGTAGCATGTGTAGGTGATTATGAGGATTTCAGCTGGAAAGGAACTAATTCACAATCTGAATGAAAACAACTCCCCTGGTTATTGCGTAAAAAGAAAGAAAGAAACCCAGGCACACTTATTGGCTAAGTCTGTTTAAAGTCATGCTTCTTTCTGGAGTTCTGCACAAAACAGAAAATATGTTTTGTTTTAGTTCTCAAACCCAAACATCCCATCTGGACAGTTCCGTGGAAACTGTTTGAGTTTGTTGCACTTTGACAAGAACAAAACCTAAACCAGTTTAAACCTCCTGGAGATCTTAATTTTATTAGATGGTCTCAAAGTATTAATTTCTAAAGCAACGATCTCTCTTAAGACAGCAGAAGATTGTGCAAGAAAATAAATTCTTGTCAGTTCATTAGCACAAAGGGAGTTTCTTTCAGAAATGTTTTAATGTAATGTCTTTTTAATCTAAGTTAAACTTGAGTGCCCAAGAAAGTGTAACAGGAGTGATGCATTAAGTTTTATATGATTATTATATGACCTATCCTTTTTCAGGTTGATTAAAAATGGTCAGCAGTATGGATTAATCTTAATCTCAAATTCCTATTTAACCAATACTTGATCATGGAAAGTACCATTCTTTTTTCAATC